CTCTCTCTCTTACTCTCCCTCATTTTGTGTAGATTAGAATTGCTTAACTTTTTATCTTAATGAATATATTTAAAATTTGTAGTTTAGACTTTTGAGAAAGAAAAGGTTTTTGTCAAAAATAAATTTCAACAACTAAAAAAGTGTGTAGTTTAAAATAAGCAAAAAAAAAAAAAAAAAAAAACCCCTTTTTAAGCCCCAAAATTTATCCCAAAATAGCATTTAATTCCCTAAACTAAAAACGAAGCAAATAAGCCCTCAAACTCTACTAATGATGCAAATAAACTCTTTTAATTCATGGGTGTTCATGCTTTTAAGGTAATATTAAACAAAGCAGAAGCACTTATTTGTATCATTAATGGAGTTGGAGGGCTTATTTTGCTTCATTTTTAGGTTAGGAGCTTAAATGTTGTATTTGGGTAAGTTTGTGAAAGACATCAAGCAAACAAAAAGAAAAAATTGTGGATGCATCTTTCTAAGACTTGAATTTCATGTTCAATTAATAAATCAACTTATTTACTGCATGTGCTGGGAAAAAAGCTTAATGTCTGTGATGAACAGATTTTCTGACATCTTCTCCTTCTTTTGTATCCTAGAAAGTAGAAACTGTTCTCTTTATAATTTTACAACCACAATTTCCATTAAATGAAGCTGTTATACCCTATATCAAGTCCTATGAGAATCAGGACACATGGAGACATTCTAGAGATAGTTCTATCAAAGTTGAGTAGGATAAATCCCACCAAAATAAGAATACCTCAAACACCAATTTAATAAAATTGTATTCTTAGAATAACTATATTTAAGCATCCTATAAATACCTCTAGGATTAACCTAAAGAGGTAGATTATTTTTCCATCATCATTCTTTCTTCATTGTAAACTCTCTCTATCAACAAAGATCTTGGTTCCACAGCATCTTTTCTATTTTTTACTGTTAACATATTTGGCGCCCACCGTGGGGCTCGACACTTTTCAGTCCACGAATACCACATGGAAAATTCAGAAAATTCATCACGACCTTGTAGAAGTATTCCGAGCTCTAGAAGTGAGGACAGAATGAGTGACTCTTTGTCATCAAGGACAAACCCAAGAAATACTGTTAATAAAACAAAACCATTAGATTCAACCATGGCATCACAAATAGAGAAGCTTACACAAGACATGGAGGAGACGAGGCAAACTTTAAAAGCAATCAAGTGAGCCATAGCATCCATGACAAAAATTGTTAACACCTCATCACAAGAAGTAAGGCGTGAACACTTGTCACAAAGTGATGCCAGGACATTAGAAGGGAAGGGAAGGAGCAAGATTCAACACAAGAAAACAGCAATCAAGATGAAAGTTACGTACCTTCAAAACCAACAAAACCACAAAAGGCAGAAACACAGGTTCATGATGACGGTATTTACAAAGAAATTGAGGCATTGTGACAACATCTGGCAAAAATAGAAGCAGGCAGGCAGAGGTACGTAGAACGAGCACACATAACTTCAGTAGAAAAAGCCTTTATAAATGAAATCATCAGGGAACCTGTGCCATCAAATTTCAAAGCTCTACAGCTAGTTGAGTATGATGGAACTCAAGACCCAGTGGAGCACGTGCAAGGATATAGAATGGCAATGATGGTATATGGAGCCTCGAATGATCTATTATGTAAGCAATTTCCAACAACTTCTAAGAAAGCTGTGCAAGCTTGAGCTCCTCGAAAGACCAACCATCATCTCCTAACAATCAAACAGAAGACATGAGAGTCACTAAGAGCCTACATAGCAAGATTCCATAATGAAGCTATGTAGGAACAAATTAACAACTTACCAGATAAGTTTCATATCTTTTTATAATATTTAAATAATTATTTTCATAAATTTATCAATT